ATCTGGGCTGATAAATCGGGGTTGAAGACAATCCGACCCGTATCTTGGTAGGGCAAACCGGTTCTATTGCAGCCATGGCGTGTTGTCGTCTTCTCTTTGCCCCATTTTACGCAGATCTGAGCCTCAACTTCCAACTAGTACATCTGGACTTCTCGGGACTCTAACCAAGATCTGGACTTTTGGGGACTCGAACCCAGCATCTCTCGTTTGGTGAAACCCAAACGAGAAAAGGATTTTCAAGCAAAGCAGCAAAAAGACATAGAAAAGGAGGGTTATTTTCTTGACTACAGGCTTCCATTAGATTCTCTTATTATAGAGTGTTTTACTACACAAAAATGGAAGTTCAGCCCAGTAAGAAGAATGATGCCACCAGAGAGAAAAGGGAATTCTTGGAGGGTGGTTGCCCCCTCTGTTTGGCCTATGATTTCTTCATCAATAAAAAACCAACAACCCTCTTCAGAAATACTAGTACATGTTTTCTGACCTCTCTGAGCTTAAGCCAGATATATATCCTCTAATCTTGGCATTTGTTTGTCAAAAATTGCTTGAAATTGTCCAAACGCCTACTACGGAAAAGTTCCAATCTCTCCAAAGAGGCAGTGATGATATTGCTAATCTGGGCTGATAAATCGGGGTTGAAGACAATCCGACCCGTATCTTGGTAGGGCAAACCGGTTCTATTGCAGCCATGGTGTGTTGTCGTCTTCTCTTTGCCCCATTTTACGCAGATCTGAGCCTCAACTTCCAACTAGTACATCTGGACTTCTAGGGACTCTAACCAAGATCTGGACTTTTGGGGACTCGAACCCAGCATCTCTCGATTGGTGAAACCCATTTGGGTTATTCAGTTTCTCTTGAAACCTTGTTGCTATTCACATCAAACTTCTAGCTAAAAGAATGAGGCAATTGGGGAAAAAAGGGATCATTTAGGGTGGTTGACCATCTCCGGCATGCCTATGATTTCTAGTTTAATTTAGTTCTGAAAAACAACTGTTGATTATGTGTGTGTTGGGGAGTGTGTTTTAGTTCTAAAAAACAACTGTTGTTGATTATGTGTGTGTGTGTTTAACCAAACGCCATACATTGAGGACTATTTTGATTATTTTCTCTGTGTTTTCTGTTATTGTTATGCTATGTTCCTCACAGGCTACAATCTATGGCAAAGCAACAGCAGAAACATTGAAAAGGAAAATGATGGAGCTGTGATGATTGATTGTTATTGATCATATGGAACCTGGCGTTGTAGTTTCAGGCCTGTATCTTGGCGGGGCGGCCCGTATTATAGGGTTTGCAGCCATGGCAGTGTCAAAGAACTCATTGCCTGAGATCAATTACTTATCGGAGCCTCAAGTCTTTCTGAAATGGCTGAATACATCGACGGCCCCTCAAACTTGCCGGAAATTTTCATTTCGACACCTGACTAAGGGTGGTTCATAGACCACCTGAACTCGTGCCAAACTGTGTCTATTAAACACACGCTGCTGAAGTTGTCCAAACAGGCTATTCTTGAAAAGTTAACATTTTCCAGAAGAGGCAGGAATGATATTGCTAATCTAGGCTGAGGCATGGAGAAAATCCACCCCGTATCTTGGCATGGCAAATCCCGATGGCTTGTGATTCGGGTTTCTCTTTCACATGCAACCAGTTCTTTTGCATGGCATTGTAGCCTTCTCTTTGCCCCATTTCAAGCAGATCTGAGTCTCAACTTCCAATTGCTCTTTAGATAGGGTCCTAAAAGCGGCTATTTATGCACTTCCCCTATTTTACAGCGTTGGGAAAATCCGACCTGTATCTCGGGCAACCCGGTTTGACATCATTTGCTAGTCGGTGTCTGCAGTCATGGCATGTGTCGCTTTCTCTTTGCGTAGTTCATAGAACACCCATTTGATGTCTTGACTCTTAAATGGATGGCCGTTCTCTGGAACCGGAACACACTGTTGGGTTCTTCAGTTTTTCCTTGAACACCCCATTTCAGATGCTGCTCTCCTTGAAATTTCTAGCTAAAAAATGAGGCCATTGGAGAAAATGGGGATTTTCAGGGTGGTTGACCATCTCCAACATGCCAGTGAATTCTTTTTTGCTCTAATCAACAGCCCATTTTGCATATGTATGATTGTGTGTATATATGTGTATTGTATGTCTGTTTCTTTCTTTCTGTCTGTCTATCTATCTACGACTACTCTGCCTCTGCATGTCTGCTTTTTCAGGCGAAGCATAGAGGAGGGAGGATTAGTTTCTTAAGTGCAGACTTAAGGGGTCTCTTCGGTTAAATTCTCTCTTATAAATCAGAGAGTGTTTTACTTCACAAAATGGAGGTTCACCCCAGAACGAAGAATGAGGCCAATAGATAGAAAAAGGGAATTCTTCCGAGGGTGGTTGCCCCCTCTGCTTGGCCTATGATTTCTCCATTAACCAAACCAACAACCCTCTTCAAAAGTACAACTACTACTGTTTCTGATTTCTCTGAGGTAAAACCAAACATCCTCTGATCTTAGTGTTTGTTTATCAAAGATTGTTTGAATTGTCCAGATGTGTTTACTGTGGAAAAGTTTCAACTTTTCAAAAGAGGCAGTGATGATATTGCTAATACTGGGCTGATATTCGGGGGCATGGAGACAGTCTGACCCATACCTTGGCATGGTAAACCCGGATGGTTTGAGATTGAGGCCTTCTCTGTCGCATGCAACTGGTTCTTTTGCAGCCATGGCATTGTCGCCTTCTCTTTACCCCATTCTTTTGCAGGTCTGAGACTCAATCTTCAACTAGTTTTTGTGGACTTTTAGGACTTGAACCCAAGACCTCGTCGTGTGAAAACCCATGTTATTTTTTAAATATACATGTTTTCTATGCTGTTGCAGCTGCATCTTCTTCTTTTTCTTTTGTTGATTGCTGTGTTTATTAACCAAATAGCAAGAAATCAATGTAAGAAGAGGGAAAATTTATGGCTATGATGATAATTCCTTTTTTTTTTAGCAATTTAATTTACGCGTTGAAATGATAAGAGCTGTATCTTGGCAGGGTAACCCGGAGAGGGAGCATCAATGGCTGTTTTTGATAAACTCAATGCCCGAGTAAATTGAAATCTGAGCCTCGTTAAGTACATGATGCACATTATATTGTCTGTATATTACATATATAGATACACATGCAAACATATCATGAGAAAATGTCCAAAATGGTCCCTTATCTAGGCAGTGATGATCCTGAGTTATTAATTGAGCATTGAGAGACCCGACCCGTATCTTGGCAGGGCGATGACCCTGATACTTGTGATTTGTAAAAAATTGCATGCAACCGGGGGATATTTGCAGCCATGGCGTGTCAGGACTTTCTTTGTCTGGCATAAATACAGATCTGAGCCTCAGTTGTCACTTATATCTTACTTTGGGTGTATTTGATATGGAGGAAATTGTTTCAGTGAAGCAGCCCTCGAAGTGGCTACCATGGTGTCATTTCTACAAATAAGACCTTTCACATGAATAATTTTGGGAATTTGAAGCGGAAGGCGATACGGAAATGGCAAAAATCTCATTAGTTTAAGTCTGAGGCTGCTGGATTTAGAGAGTTTTGGTGAGTTATTTGAGTGGTTGCCCCTCTCTGTTATTCTTATCAGCCAGTGATCAGTCAAATGTTCCCCAATTTCCAACTAATATTTAGCAAATTAAGTTCACTTAGGCAGTGAAGATTTTCACTCTTTATTCATCAATTGGTTGAGCTTTGCTATATCTTGGCGTGGCAGCTTTTGGTTGGTCTTGTGAGATATGTGAGCTATTTTTGTTTCCGTGTCTCACAAAGGCTTCTCATTAAGCTTGCAGCCATGGCGGAGTTTAGCTTGTGCTTGAGAAGAGGAAAGTCTGAGCCTCCCAAGTATAACAACAAACCAAGTGAAATCCCACAAGTGTGGGGTTTGGGGGTTAGTGTGTATGTAGACCTTACCCCCATTTTGTAAAGGTAGAGAGGCAAGCAAAACTTGCTACTGAATATCAAAGCGAGGTTTCGATCATGTGACCTGTGGGTCGTGGGGCCACCACGCTTCTCAAGTATCTGCATGTTAAAGAATGAGGCTTTTTGTGGTGGAAGTCGAGAAAGATTGAGATTTTCTAAGGGTGGTTAGTCTCTTTCTCTGAAGTTCAGTATAGCCGATGAATTTTCCAGTACTTTTGTTACAAAGATAAAGATTAACAACCCTTTCATCAGCTAATACCAATTATGTTGTTGGTGATGATGACGACGACGATAGCCATGGTTATGGCAATAAGGGAAAATACATATTCTGCTTCCTAAACTTGTCCAGGAAAACCTGAATCCTTAACCCTGAACTTTGTGAATGAGGCTACGATGATGTTCTCCCGGAAGCTTGAAAATCAGATTTTTGAGCTGATTTGTTTCTTGGCTAGGCAAAGGCGGGAATTTGTGAGGTAGTTTCTTATGTGCTTCTCACAAAGGCGTCAGCTTTTGGCAGCCATGGTGGATTACCTCTTTGTTCTGATAGATTTTTAGGCAAATCTGAGCCTCTTTTCTGTTTGGAGTTTAGTTCTACAATGGGTGGTTCTTTCCTTTCGTTCTTTTTATGACCATGTTTTGTAATATTCGTATGAGATGAGTCTAAAAGGAGCAACATGGTCAGTCAGTGTTGTGCATAGCACGTGTGTTTGTTTTTCCTCCTCTTGAGCAATTGTACAGAAGAGGCAGTGATGATGATGTTTCACTTTTTGGGCTAGCTGAATCAGGGACTTGGACAACTTGACCCGTATCTTGGCCTGGCAAATCACTGGATGGTCGGCATTTGAGGTTCTCTCTTTTGCATGCAACCAGTGATTTTGCAGCCATGGCATGGTTGACTTCTTTTTGCCTGATATAAATGCAGTTCTGAGCCTCAAATTCTGGGAATCGAAATGGGTACTCTTGTTCTTTGAATCCATTAGAAGTCAAGGATACAGTGGTACGAGCCCATAGACCAGACCCTGTTCAAATTAAGGTTGTCATTTTTTTGATAAGGAAAAGTGATGGACCTATGGATCGTGGTATAAATTAAGGTTGTCATTGAGATCCATTAATGTCTGCTTCTAAATTTTAACTCAAGCTCCGGATCATAAGAATGAGGTATCAGAAAAGTTAAAACACCGAGGGTTTGGCGGAACACTTATTATAAGTTTAGCCCAGAAAGGAAGAGTGAGATATCAGAGAGAGATGGGATTTTCTGTGAAGGGTGGTTGTCCCTCTCTGCTATGACCATGATTTCTCCATTCATGAAACCAACAACCCTTGAAGTAAAAAAAGAAACAAGCAAATAGCCACTTCCTCTGCTTCTGCTGCGATCACTACTGATTTACACAGATAGCCACCCTTATGGCCTTGTATTTAGAAGGCCACAACTGATTTGCACAAAGAGGATACGGATATATGCTGTGATGATTGCTTCTTTCTGAGCTACCTACTCTCAGCATTGAGAAAATCCGACCTGTATCTTGGCAGGGCAACCCAGTATGGCATCATTTGCAAACTGGTGTCTGCAGTCATGGCATGTGTCGCTTTCTCTAGGCATATTCATATACAAAAAAATCTGTGTCCCAAAATCTACGGCAACCTTTGATGGTCTTAAATGGATGGTCGTTTTCGGGAACTGGAAACCCACTTGGGTTCTTCAGTTTTTCTTTAACGCACCCCATTTCAGATGTGGTTCTCTATCAATTTCTTAGCTCAACGAATGAGGCAGTTGGAGAAAAATGGGGATTTTTCAGGGTGGTTGACCATCTCTGGCGTGCCTGTGATTTCTATTTTCTTTTAGCTCTAGCCAAGAGCTCTTTTTGTTTATGCATGTGTTTATGTAACCAACCCCCATATATTAAGGATCATTTTGATCATTTTCCCTCTGTTTTCTGTAACTGTTACAGTCTGTTCCTCAGAGGCTGCGGCTGCGTTTCCATGGCAAAACAACAGCAAAAGCATACAACTTGAAATGGAAAAGGGAAAATAATGGGGCTTTGATGATAATTTTACTAAGCAAATGGCATCGGGCATTGTTGTTTCAGGCCCGTATCTTGGTGGGGCAATCCATATTATAAGGTTTGCAGCCATGGCAGTGTCAAATATCTCAGTGCCCGAGTTAAATCACAGATCTGAGCCTCAAAATCTTTCATCCAAATCATCTCTAATGAGCAAAATGAGATGAGAGTTAGCCCAGAAAGAAGAATGAGGCCAACAGAGAGAAAAGGATTTCTTGGAGGGTGGTTGCGCTCTCTGTTTGGCCTATGATTTCTGCATAAACCAAACCAACAACCCTCTTTTTTTTTTTTTTTTTTTCCAATTGGTATATTTAGGGGTGTTCATGGTTCGGTTTAGTTGACCAAAAGAGAAGGAAAATATCAGTTGCCATTGATGTGATGCTGATAGCAATAGTATTCTCTCCGTTCATTTATGTGTCCTGAAACTGTCCACAAATTGCTATGCCAAAGTTTTCATCTTTCCGAAGAGGCAGTGATGAGATTGCTAAGCTGGTTATTATTCGAGAAATGGAGAAAACCCGAATCTTGGCGGGGCAAACTCGGATCATGCTACTGGTTCATTTTGCAGCCATGGCGTTGTCGTCTTCTCTTTCCCCCATTTTACACATATCTGAGCCTCAATTTCCAGTCTTTAAATAGGGGTCCTGAAAACGGCTATCTGTGCACTTCCCCCACTTTACTGTGCTGAGAAAATCTGACTGGTATCTTGGCAGGGCGACCTGGTATGGCATCATTTGCACACCGGTATCTGCAGCCATGACGTGTGTTGCTGTCTCTTTGCTTGTTCATAGAAAAGCAAAATCTGGGCCCTAAAACTTTTAGGGCAACCATTTGATGATCTTGAATTGGACGGCCGTTCTCTGGAACTGAAAAACCAAATTGGGTTCTTCAGTTTTTCATGAACATCCCATTTCAGATACAGTTCTCCGTCAAAATTTTAGCTAATAAATGAGGCAATCGGAGAAAAAATTGGATTTTTTCAGGGTGGTTGACCATCTCCAGCATGCCTATGATTTCTTTTTTGTGGCTATAATCAACAGCCCTTTTTGCATATCTATGATGTGTGTGTGTATATATATACATGTATTGTATGTCTCTTCTGTCTCTCTATCTATCTGCGACTACTCTGCTCTTGTGTGGCTGCGTTCTTAAGGCAAATCAGCACAAAGGTGTTTGCCCCTCTTTGCTATGTCCCGTGATTTCTCCATTCATAAAACCAACAGCCCTTTGAGAAAAAAAGAACAAGAAAAGGAATATGATAAACCATTCCAACGACACCCCTTGAGTATTTACTTCTCTAAAAAGGGCTTTGCTCTTCTTTTCTCTGCTTCTGCTGATTTACACAAATATCCACTTTTATGGGTTTGTATTTGAAATCCACGACTGATGCTGAACTTCATAGATCCAGAAAATTTCACCTTATGTCCCTTTTGAGAGCAGGTGTTTAATAATGATCATATATGTGCAAATCTCCCTCACAGATCACCTGAAGTGGGCTATGATGATTGCTTCTTTCTGGGAGTCTTTTGCACAGCAGTGAGAATTGGCCCGGAAGGAAGAATGAGTCCAACAGAGAGAAAATGGATTTCTTCGAGGGTGGTTGCCCTCTCTGGCTGGCCTATGATTTCCCCCCCAACCAAACCAACAACCCTCTTCCTTTTTTTTCTTTTCCCAGTTGGTATATTTGTGAAATTACATAGCTTTTTAAGCAAAAGCGAGAATTTTGAGGCTGTGATGATACTGTCTTCTCTTCTTTCATGAGCTAATCAATTGGTCAAGAGAAGTAAAGGGACTCGTATCTTGGCTGGGCAAACCGGATGACAAGTGATCTTTGTGTCATGCAACCGGTGTTTGCAGTCATGGCGATGTCTTCATTCTCTTGTCTTATCAACAGATCTGAGCCTCCATTTTACTCTTATAGCTTGTTTGGATGGTTGTTACCCAGTGTATTGTATTGTTATTTTAAAAGGGCGTCTTTGGTATGATGGAAAACATCAGTATTTGGTTACTGATGTACAACTCTGAGAAGAAGAAAGTTCAGAATCAGGTGAGAGCCGAGAATTTTCCTAAAAAAAAGTTGGCCCGGAAAGAGAAATGAGACTAACAGAGTGAAGGGATTTTCTGTTAAGGGTGGTTGCCCTTCTCTGTTATGACAATGATTTTCTGTAGCTACCAAACCAACAGGCCCTGTTCATGAAATGCAGAGAAACATCATATGCTTTTTCAGTGTACAGCTTAAGCCATGGACCTCTGTGTATGTGTGTTTCTTTTTCCTCCTTCGGAATAATTTTACAAAAGAGGCAGTGATGATAATATTCTTTCACTTTCTGGGCTAAACAAATTGGACATGGTGGACAATCCGTATCTTGGCCTGGCAATTCCCTTGTTGTGCATGCAACTGGTATTTTGCAGCCATGGCGTAGTTGCGTTCACTTTGTCCGTGCAAAATGCAGTATCTGAGCCTCAAATTTCTGAAATGCAGTATCTGAGCCTCAATACCCTTGTTGTTTTTGTTGTTGCTTTGAGTCGAGGGTCTATCGAAAACAGCCTCTCTACCGCCACCTGGTAGGGGTAAGGGTAAGGTGTGTGTACACACTACCCTCCCCAAACTCCACTTGTGGGATTCCACTGGGTTTGTTGTTGTTGTTGGTATATTTGTGAAATTTTCCCATAAAAGAAGGCAAATATCTGTGCCATTGATGCAATGCTGATAGCAGCAGTAGTAGTACTCCCTCTGTTCCAATTTATGTGCCTTGAAACTGTCCAAATTGCTATGGAAAAGTTTCTGTCTTTCCAGAGAGGCAGTTTTGATATATTTGCTAATCTGGGCTGAAATTCGGGGCATGGAGAAAAACAGACTTGTATCTTGGCGGGGCAAACCCGGATCAGGCAACTGGTTTTGCAGCCATGGCGTTGTCATCTTCTCTTTGCCCCCATTTTACACATATCTGAGCCTGAACTGCGATGAGTCATTGTGGAATTTGCAGGATTTGAACCAAATGGGAAACCATTTCAGTTTAGCTCAAAAAAAAATGAGGCAACAGAGAAAAATGAGGATGTCTAAGGGTGGTTGACCATCTCCGATATGCCAATGATTTCTCCTTTGCTCTAACCAACAGTCCTTTTAGAGTATGTACGTCGGCGAAGTGCACATATAACGGTTTTAGGACTCCTATTTGAAGAAAGACGAAAAGTGATAGCATCTTACAGTCTACAGATTAATGAGGCTCAGCCCAGTATGAAGAACGAGGCCAACAGGGAGAAAAGGGAATTCCTTGGAGGGTGGTTGCCCCCTGGTTTGGCCTATGATTTCTCCATCAACCAAACCAACAACCCTCTGCAAATGTGATGCTGATAACAGTAGTACTATTCAATGTTCTGATATTTCTGAGCTAGCTTAGACCAAATGTTTTTGGTCCAAAACATCCACAGATCTGAAATTTCCACTTGTTTTTTTTGAAATTCTCCAAACAGGCTCTTATTGAAAAGTTCCCGTTTTTGGAAAGAGGCAGTGATGATATTGATTGTCTGGTCCGATATTCGGCGCATATTGATAATACAACCTTGGGCTGTTTTATGAACCAAACAGCAAGAGATCAATGTAAGGACAGGGAGAATTTATGCTGTGATTGTAATGCCGTTTTCTTTTTTGAGCAATTTGGGTTAGGCGTTGAGATGATAACAGCCATATCTTGGCGGGGTAACGTGGGAAGGTTGCAGCAATGGCGGTTTCTGATTAAACCCACTACCTGATTCAATTGAAATCTGAGCCTCTTATGTACATGATGCTCATGTATATTGTCTGTATACTACATACCTATATACATATATGTGTATATATATATACATATACATACATACATACATATATACATATACATACATACATATATGTGTATATACATATATATATATTTACATATCATGAGAAAATGTCCAAAATGGTCCCTTATCGAGGCAGTGATGATCTTTCAATCTATCCTTCTGAGCTAGTAATTGGGCATCGAGAGTAACCGGCATGTAGCTTGGCTGGGCAATGACCCAGATGCATGTATTTTCTTACATGCAACTGGGGGTATTGCAGCCATGGCGTGGCTGGACTTTCTTTGCGTGAACATGAATAAGATCTGAGCCTCAATTGTCCCTTATATTTGACTCTGGCTGTATTTGACATGGAGGAAACTGTTTCAGCAAATAGATGAAGCAAAAGATGAAACAAAAATGGCAAAAGTTTCATTAATTTATGTCTGAGGCTGCTGGATTGAGAGAGTTGCGGAGAGTTTTGTGAGTGGTTGCCCCTCTGTCATTCTTAGCAGCCAATGATCCACTCAAAATTTCCCAATTTCAAACCACTCTTTAGCAAAATAAGTTCACTTAGGCAGTGAAGATTTTCATTCTTTACTCATCAGATGGTTGAGCTGAGCTTTGCTATATCTTGGGGGGGCATCTCTTTGGTGGTCTTGTGGATATTGAAGCTATTTTTTGTTTCTGTGTCTTGCAAAGGCTTGTTAAGCTGGCAGCCACGGCGGGGTTTAGCTTATGTCTGAGAAAAGGTCAATCTGAGCCTCCCAAATATCTTTTTGTGTTCAAAGAACGGGGATTTTTATGGAACTCGGAGGAAGGTTGAGATTTTTTAAGGGTGGGTACTCTGTTTCTCTGAAGTTCAATTTAGCTAATGAATTTTCCTGTAGTTTTGTTATAAAGAGAAAGTTTAACAGTCCTTCAAGAGAAAATACATATTTTGCCCCGCTAAACTTGTCCGGGAAAACTCAGAATCCTAAACCCTAAACTTTGTGAATGAGGCTGTGATGATATTCTCCAGGAAGCTTTAAGACCAGATTGGCTGAGCAAAGGCATGGGAATTTCTGAGGTTGGTTCTTTATGTGCTCTCTCAGAAAGGCATCTGCCTTTTTCAGCCATGGTGGATTAGCCCTTTTTTCTGATAGATCTTTATGCAAATCTGAGCTTTTTTCTTTCATTCTTTGTACGTTCATGTTCTTTCTTCTGCATAATATCAGGAAGAATCCTCATTTCAAAAGATATGAAACAAGTCGAAAGAGAAAGGAAGTGAATATTAAGGATTCATACTGTCTTTAACCAGTTTGATATTGAAGCTAGTTGTTGCTGCAGTTATCTACGCTATATTCAAACTTTCATGCCTTTGTTTCAATCTTGAATACTTGAAGTTTCAGAGGCAGTGAAGATTATATACAATTGAAAATGAAAAGTGAAGAAGATTAGAGTTGATTCTTGGCCTGGCTTGGTGAGTCCAATCGGAAGGTCTTTCTTATAAGGCAACCGTAGATTGTGCAGCCATGGCAGTGTTAGCTCTGTTCTTTTTTCCTTTTCTTTTTTTGATTAAATAGGCGAAAATCTGAGCCTCATTCTTAATGTAGTTTATTTACAATTTTTTTACTAGTCTTTCTGGAAATAGATTTAGATTACCTTCATTGTGGAACCACGGAAATCAACAGCTCCGGCTTCCAACTCTAAATCCTAAAGGGAAATGGAGTTTCTGCGTTGAGTACAAGCATTTGTTTTATTGCCAGTTCTAGTGGCTTTCATTGATCTGGATGAGGATCTTGAGTTTTCTCCTTCGGACTTAAAATTCGGTCTTGATTGGGTTGATGGTAATTGGATCTGCCCGCATGAAAAGGTAATAAATTTTACCTTCTCCAATTTGGTAATAAATTTTACCTTCTCCAATTTGCTTGTGTTTTTATTTAAGGTCAATTTGGCCAAAACTTTTTGAACTACATCTTGGAATATCTTCAAACTGAATAATATTGCAGTACTACTTTATGATTAATACGTCTATGTTGTGCTGAAATTTTGGTTCACGTATTCTATAATTGAACTGCTATCGCAAAGCATGTTACAGAGTAAATTTGTGCAGCTATTGATATCATTAATCAGTACTCTTGAATACCAACTAATTCAATTATAGATGGAATGGCAGTTTATAGGCATCCAGAAGGAAAACCAGCTTATACTGCATCCTGATGGGAGTCGCACGTCATGTCGCATTTGCCTCAGCTTGACTACTTGCATGAGGCCTCGAAGATGCAATTCTCTGATTCTTAGCTACTGAAGTTCAGAGCTATTGCTTTCTTTTTGAATCTTATTTGCTATCAATTGCACCATGATCTTTCTTTTAATCACCCAATAGTGTTGATTAACAACAACAACAACAACGACCCAGTATAATCCCACAAGTGAGGTCTGGGGAGGGTAATATGTACGCAGACCTTACCCCTACCCCGAAGGGCAGAGAGGCTGTTTCCAGGAGACATAGTGTTGATTAACATGAATGATATATCTGTTGACATATCCACTGGGTGATGATCATCAAATCAATCATGTCATTTGAATTAGTTGTAATAGGAGTGTATTATACAGCAAATTTTATTTGCATTTGCATCTGCGTCGACTGATAAATTGTATGAAAATTTTTTGAAGCTCAAAACTCTATTAGTTCTCATGATTTCATAGTACAAATCTAAGTTCGTTTTGTGCTAGCCTATATATTTGATTGCTGAAGTTAAATGGTTATCTGTTGTGTTTAACAATGATCTTTCCTCCTATCAGAAGGTATTTCTTATAAGGCGCAACCAATGATGGCAACCATGGCAGTGTCAATTTTCCTTCTTTTTTTTTTTTAAGGAAAAAAATAAATAAATTAAGTAGGCGAAAATCCGAGCCTCATCTTCAACTTGTTTTTTTTTTTTTACTTTTTTTGGGTCTAGTTTTTCTGGAAATAATTTTAGATTAGAAATATTTGAAATTAAGCTATACATGTTTCATCAGAAAGATTTTGGAGCTAGGAATAATTTTGCTGATGTTACTCTGGATGTTAAAATGACTATCAATCAAAAAGCATTTTGTGAAAACTAATTTGGTAAAATAATTTGCTCAAAGCTAATGGTAGAGGCCATCTAAAAAATAGAGTTTTTTACATTGTAGGTCACTAATAAAACTGTATTAGTATTAATATTACTATTTTTGGTTTATTTCAATAACAGCAGATTTTGTAGCAAATGTAGCATATTCAAACAAATACCATTTTCCTTTAGTAGTATGTAACTTACGTAATCAGGGGCGGAGCTAGAGCTTCGTACGGGTTCAGCCGAACCCAGTAGCTTTGGTCCAAACTCTATATTTGCCCTGGAAATTTCATTGAATATACATAAATTATTTATTTAGAACCCAGTAAGTTAGAAAGAATAAAATTACGAACCCGTCAGCTTCAAATCCCGGCTTCGCCACTATACGTAATACTATAGAAGAAATTAACTCAATGAATCAACTACAGCTCAATTTCAATCTTGTTATGGTCTGATAGGTTATTTAAATTTGTTTCACTTTAACTGAGTCTATATTATTAAGACAAATTTTAAATTAAAAATTAACTTGAAGAAATATTTTCATTTCGTGATTCGAGGCTCTCTTCTTATACTTCTCGTTCATATCCTCACAGGTGTGGACTATTAGTCAATACAATTGTAATAAAGATTTTGGGAGATCATATTTCAAATTGCAACATAAGCCAAAAGAATAAGTGGAGTAATTTATCAGTCTAAGTTTATGGACAAAGTTATTCAGTATATGTGGTGGGTGATAACTGCGAGTTTACGAGCAACTGAATGAACGAGCAATGTTCTTAAAAGAAAATGAATAATCAAGATATGCATGAATTAGACGGTAATTACAGCTAAACATCTTAAAATATTAATCGACAATTTAACGTATATTATATGCAACATACTATTAAAATTTATTGAATAATATAAAATAATTTCTAAATTAATTATTTTACATATAACGTAAATCATTAGAGGTGGAATGATATAGTAAATATCTTTTACATTGTCGTAAAGCTTAAACTTTGATCGCATGCCTATTGAAGAATGAGTCGGCGACTCATAGGCAGTGGCTTGGTTAAGGGAACCCATCGGAGCCGTAGCGAAAACGAATCTTCATAGGATAATTGTTACTGCTTATGGACCCGAACCTCGGTGATCTATCCATGACCAGGATGAAGCTTGGGTAAAACTAAGTGGAGGTCCGAACCGACCGACAAAAATCTGCTAGATAAGTATATATTTTTAACTTAAAATGTAAGGTCCTTAAATATCCACGTCTGTCCCATAATAAGAATTTCACCCTTCTCCTTTATACCAATTCAAAGACCCTAACCAATTCCTAAAGCAAATCAAAATCCTCGCTACAGAAAGATCCCAAACCCGTTTTTCTTTCTCCAACCCCAAAATCTTGAAAACCCCATTTGTTAAAAAATGGCAACAAAAGTAATGGAAGTAGTGAAAAAACTTGATGTAGAAAAGTATATGGGAAGATGGTATGAAATTGCTTCATTCCCATCAAGATTTCAGCCCAAAAATGGTGTAAACACAAGGGCTACTTACACTCTGAATCCAGATGGTACAGTGCATGTGTTAAATGAGACATGGTGTGATGGTAAAAGAGGTTATATTGAAGGCACTGCTTATAAAGCTGATCCTAAAAGTGATGAGGCTAAATTAAAAGTCAAGTTTTATGTCCCACCTTTCTTGCCTATTATTCCTGTTACTGGAGATTATTGGGTTCTTCATATTGATGAGAATTATCAGTATGCTTTGATTGGTCAGCCTAGTAGGAATTATCTTTGGGTAAGTGCACTATCAACCTTTAATATTTAAAGTTTTTGTGTTTTCTCTTTGATATAAAAATTGGTTAATTTTTATTAAGTAGATGTGAAATAGACTTAAATTTGTGTAAGCCTTGATGGGCGGAGTTGCCCGACTTCTGTGCTGGTGGGAGGTAGCAGGTAACTGGTGGAATAGTCGAGGTGCTCGCAAGGCGCTCCGAACTTGAACAACGAGGATTTATTATTCAAAGTTATTGTATTTGTCATTTGATATGAAAATTGGTTGAGTTTTTATCAACTAGATGTGAAATAGATCGACTTAAATATGCCTAATCCTTGATGGATAAAGTTATCTTGGTGGGAGGTAGCAGGTAACCGGTGGAATAGTCAAGGTGTTGGCAAGCTGCACCAAACATGAACATCAAGGATTTAATATTCAAAGTTATTGTCTTTGTCAATTGTCATTTGAATTGATATGAAAATTGGATGAAATTTTACTATGTAGATTGATATTATGTTAAAAGGGGGCGTAGTTGACTTAAAATCACGTGGAAAAATTGTCTTGAGAGATCTATAATCTGTTGGAATTTATGCAGACCTAGCGGAAAATAGGGTACAAGCGAAGAGAAAAATCTATATCGGTAATAACAATTAGTTAAGTTTTAGTCACGTTAATATGTTTATTATAGGTCTGATATTTTGTAGGAGTTTTTAGACTTGTAGAGATTGATATGCCGGTAAAAAATGTGGAAAACTTTTACAATACTTTTACTGTTTAGTCCTATTAACCTTTGATATTCAAAGTTATTTTCTTTGCCATTTGATGTACAAATTGTTTTGAGTTTTGAATACTGAATTGTTTGTGTGATTCAGAAAGTGAGTCTTGTTTTGTGTTGTTTTTCCTTCAGTTTCAAAATCCTGGTAAATGTATGAAAAAGTGATAGTATATATATCTCTCTCTTTGTATAGGATGATAAGGATAGAATCTCAGAGGTTGAAATATAAATTTGGGTGAATGCATTTGACTTCAACCATCTGGCCTTCTCCTAAAACAAAGAAGATTGATCATTTGTTATCTGTTTGTATCAGTAGAAATTAACAGAAATTGTCACATTTTGCTTAGATACACGTATCTTCTTTGAAATTCAGAGGTTGAAGCAAAGCCGAGAAAATCCTTCGAAATTTAACCTTCCCTCCCTCTCTCCCACCCCCACCAGAAGAAAAAAAGGACAGGAGAAAATCCTTCCTTATAGATATTTGTATGATCTATGCAATAGTGAATGCATAGTGAGATGAACAAATTGCTAAAGAAGTAGTGCTCTAGGTCTATAACTTGAGAAGGTTAAATTTCTCAAGAATTAGTAGCTATGTTGCGCGGACTCTCCAAAATGATGTCGTACCCATGTCGGATCCTACAAAAATACACTACTTTTGGAGGATCCGCCACACACCAACGATATTTTTGAAGAGTCCGAGCAACATAGCTTAGTAGTAGTATTTCATTTGTTATTTGACGATCATTGAAACTAGCATCCGATGACTGAGTCTATGAACATTTTGGTTTCTCTTTTCATAGTTGTGTTGATCTGCTTGCAGTTGTAATTTTCTTGAAGAGTTATATCAAGTCTGTGATACCTTTAGTTCTTCCAAGTCTGATACCTTAGTTGCATGAAACAATAAAGGTATAGAACTTGGATTATAATTTGCGGCATCTCAATTTTGCAGTTAAAATTTGGCGAATGATCTTTCCGTTCAGCATGCTGATCCCATTTGATCTCATTTGAGCTTCCCCTTTCCTAAGATCTTGGACGTGCCATCGACATTATATGCTCTACTGATCTATTTCGCAGAAAACCAGCTACATCCGACTACCTCGCTCTGACTAGAAAAGCATAGGGCGGACTCTATTTTATATACTAATTCTTGTCTTGACTTTCTCTCTTCGTATTGAAACGAATATCGTATGCTAAGAGAACATTAGGCATCATTCTCTCATATCCAATTCCTAAACTTTTGTTCCATAAGTATAAAAGCGAGTAGTATATTTAGTTACACATAGAACATTCTTGTAGTTTTCATCTTTCCTAAGCCGAGGGTCCATTGGAAACAGCTTCTCTACCCTCTCGAGGTAGGGGGTAACGTCTGCGACTTGTGGGCCAAGTGGGGTCTTCACTGGGTCTGTTATTGTTGTTGTATAGAACATTCGTGTATTTCAAACCCTCTGTTTGTTAGGTTATGAAATGTGCATATCTTTTTAATGGATTCTTGTTTTCTGGCTTAACGAAATGTATCTGGCGGCGGTTTGTTGGCAGGTATTATGTAGGCAAAATTCTCTTGATGATGAGATATACAACCAGCTTGTTGAGAAGGCTAAAGAAGAAGGCTATGATGTGAGCAAGCTCCACAAGACGCCACACACTAATCCCCCACCAGAAAATGATGATGCCCCCAAAGACACTAAAGGAATTTGGTGGATCAAATCAATCCTTGGAAAGTAGGCAAATGCAGTACAATGGTGATTTTTTTTACCTAAAGACAATTGAATGAGTGTTTAAAACAGTCTTTAGTGATATTCCTAAATGTTTAAGCTTATGTTTTCGGAAGTTTTTTGCCTCTGGAACTCTATAAAGTTGATAGTATCAATAGCATGTGATAAGCATTTGAATTCTATGTGAAATGTTTTGTTTTGTTTGTTTTGGGTTCATCCATCCGTCGTGCGGAACTCAAATCCAAATAGGGTGGATCTTTATCCGGAGTAGAGCATAAACCTAAAAAGATGAAACAGACCTACTGTCTAATCGGGATTTGCATTGTAGAAAGCTTACCATGGGGGAGTTTTAGCTCTC